GTGAATAAACAAAAGTATACTTACGGTGGCCCCTAGAGACAAAGCACGTACAAACTCCAAAACACAATGGAAATGCTCCAGGATCATAGTGGCTACACAAGCCAGGAAATACTAACGACCAGATCTGGTGTGGTAGTAACAGGTAAATGGACTTTTTTTTAAATCATTTGAATATATATGAGTGTTTGTGTATAAATACACAAACAATACACATATGTTTCAATTGTGTAATTTAAGGTAGCTCTGTTTTGAAAGTTCAGTTAATGCAAGCAACGTGTTTTGGAGCCTAAGGTCTGTTGATGGCTGCATCAAAGCATTTTTTTGTTTTTGATGCAAGCTACCCAGAGTCATGCGCCCAGCTTGGGAATTCCTTCACACTGTCATCTATCCCAGGAACAGATGAATCCCAGGACATGAACCAAATATGATCAAATGAATGAGGGCTCATTTAGCTATGATGTAAGTGTAAAATGTTGCTCATAAAGGTGCATGAAATGATCTTAGAGGGCGATTCCCTCTTGCCACTTTTCCAAAGTGTTGATGTATGTGCTGAGGTAATCATCAATTCATCATTTTTTTAAAGTTGAGATTTTTTTTTAAATTTGATTTGCTCTAAGAACAGAGCAGGCATTACATACCATGTCTTCATCTGTGTTTACATGCATTTGCATGTGCTGTAACCAAAAGACTGATTTGAAGTAATGGATATAATATAATGAATTATATACTTTTTTTAAAGTTGTATTTTACTTTCATTGATAGATTTTTATGAATTTGCTGTCTATGTTCAGGTATCATATGGCAATAAAAAGATTTTTTGAGAAAATCTGTTTTGAATCTAGTTTTTATAAATGTAATTTTATAATAAGAAGAAATCTTAACCCAAACATTAATGGTAATTTAACCCATGTGATGGGTTCTGACTTTCAACACAATTTTTGGTAACCTCAACTTTACAGATTGGTCAGTTTGGCAACATTTAGGAGATTATATACCAATATATGTGGATATATGTGGATTCTAAATATCACATTATAGTTTACATACAAATATCCTGTCATCCTGTATCAATGTGAGGTCAGAGGTCAAATGTACAAATGAATACCTGTTATCTGTGACCTACTCCTACAGAGGCTGTGTGTAATCAGAGTAAAACATCTGCCATATACAATAGTTGCTACTAAAATCTTTGATTGAATACAATGACACACACACGTGTTCAGTCTAGGCTGAAAATGTAGACATTTGTGTGACAATAAAAACAGGCAATATTCACAATATAATCTTTTTAGGATTTTATTAATTAAAAAAATCAATTTAGAGTGCCCAATAAGATTAGCTGTGTATTAGTTGACAAAAAACAAAACCCCAATAATCTGACAATTCCCTCTGAGCAAGCACTCGGCGACAGTGGGGAGGAAAAACTTTCTTTTAAAGGAAAAACTTTCTTTTAAAAGAAAGAAACCTCCGGCAGAACCAGGCTCAGTGAGGGACGGCCATCTGCCTCGGCCGGTCGTGGGGTTTATAAA